CTGGGGCGCAGCGCGGGACCCCCAGGTACTGGCTGCGGTATCCCTGTTCCCTGCCTTTGGCCAGGCCCCCACTGGCACCCGGCCCCCTAGCCAGGCCCCCACCAGCACCCTGTCTCTACTACCACCCTAGTCTTGCCCCAGCCCCCACAGCCCCCTGGTCCCTGGCCAGACCCGCCCCCCTCCCTCCAGCACCCTACCCAGACACCATACAGCACCCTGCCCAGACACCTACTCCCAACTTGCTCCTGTACCCTATTTTCCACCCAGATTCTGCACCCCCATCCCTATCCCACTGGGGTTGGGAAGGAATTTTCCTCCAGGGTAGATTGGCAGAGGCCCTGGAGGTTTTTCGCCTTCCTCTGTAGCATGGGGCGCAGATCACAGCTGGAGGATTCTCTGCATCTTGGGACCTTCAAAGTATTTGAAGGCTTCAATATTGGAGATATAGGTGAGAGGATTATTCTAAGAGGGGTGGGTGAGATTCTGTGGCCTGCACTGTGCAGGGGGTCACACTAGATGATCATAATGGTCCCTTCTGACCTTAAAGTCTATGAGTCACTGGCAGCCCTGTCCTGCACTGGATCCCTCATTTTTTGACCCACCTCAGGGTATAGAGGGGCCCACAAATTCCACTAACCCTGGAACTCAGAAGAGTTAATCTAGCCTGAGGCCCTGAACCTCAGTTCTACCTACCCTCCCTCCTGCCCCATGGGGCTGGAGTGCCAAGGGAGAGAGATATCTTAACTGGGCCCACATCAGTGAGGCTTGGGGGGTTTTGGAGGTTTTTTTTATTGGCATCTCACTTCTGTGGTCCCAGACTGATTGTTTTGGGTCAGGGGTCACTGACCCATAGAAAAGGTTCCCTGCCCCTCCCATAAGTCAAGGCAATGCTGAAACATTTTGTGTTGGACATAATATTTTATTTAGAAATGAAGCCTGGCTAACAAGCCCCCAGTTTGGGCCAAGCCCTCATCTGGCTGCAGCATCATAACACTCCTGCATCCCCTCCCCACAAACTCCAACCTCAAGCCCATCATACACCTAAGCCCCCTGCCCTGAACCCCTCACATCCCCAAACTCCTGCACCCCCACATCCCCAGTTTTCTGCCACAACACTCCTGCACCATCCACGCACTGCAAGTCTGTGTCCTGAGCCCTTCATACACTCCACCCAAAGTCTTGCACCCTCACATCCACAAGCCTGCGGCTTGCTCAGCACACCAACCCTCCACCTGACCCCAACACTCTCCAGCCTGGAGCCCCCTCCCTGAGCTAGCATTTCCTTCTCCACATCCTCCTGCTCCCAAATTGCCTCCCAAAGCTTGCACCTCTCACCCCTTCCCACATTCTGGCCCCAGAGCCCGCACCCAGGGAGAGTGAGAAAGGGCTGGGGACAGCAAATGATGGAGAGGAGGGAATGGAGAGGGCAGGGCCTCAAGGAAGGGATGGGGTAGATCTTGGCTGCCCTGACACTTAAAAACCGATCTTGGCTGTAAAAAGGTTGCAGACCACTGCCTTAAGTCAACAAATAATTCCTGCTTTTACACTTAGTCATTTACTAGTTATTTGTAACAAGCCTTTCATCCAAAACATGTCACATGATCCATCGTCTATAGCCAAGCCCTAAGATACAACCACATTTGCTCCAATCCCTCAGACAGAGACAAACGCCTTTTAACATCCTTAGTCAAACGTGCCTGCATGACAACAGAAGATGGGATTGCAGATCTTTCAGAAATAGATCAGGAAAAGCCCACGCAACAAAATATTTAAGAGAAGCATCAGTGAAAGCTGTAATAAACTGCGAACAATAATTCAACTGTCATGTGCACAATTTTATCACAGACAATGCTGTAAACATGGCAAAGATGGAGAGATACTTAGAAGAAGAAACAGAAGGATGCTTCTTAACATATGGCTGCAGTGCCCATCACGGCATCTTTTAGCCAAAGACTTACGTACATCTTCTCCAGGAATAAAAGAAAACGCTGAAGTCACAAAATACCTCCATAACAACCATTTTGCTTCAGCTTTGCTGAAGAGAGCAGGAGGATCCACCCTCAAAGTGTTCAATGAAATTCTGTGGTTGACTTATGAATTTATTAAAAGTCAACCTAGTCTCAAACTATTGTGAAGAAAACCATGATAATTCATCTGTTGTATCTAAAATCTCTCCTCTTTAATCCAATGTTAATGCAGAGGATTTGCTCAGTATACCGACACCTATGTTCATAGCCTTAAACTTCAGAGAAATCGGTGCTGCGTTGCTGATGCTGTCGAAATCTGGAAGGCACTTCAAGAGACAGTGGCAACAGAAATACCTTATTAGAAGGTTAAACTGCAGGCAATGAAGAAGGACTAACTCCACCTCATTTTCTTGTGAACATTCTCAATCCTAGCTATCATGGTTGATGCCTAACTTCTGAAAAATGTGATGCTGCCATGGTATAAGCATCTTAAAAATCATTCCTCATGTAGGCCAGTCATAATAATTTTCAGTGCTGAAGCTAAACCATTTAATCAGCATATGTTTGCGGTACGAAGTCACTCCCCTGAACTGTTGGGGGATCATTAGCCAGGCATCTTGGAACAGAGTCATTCAGTTGCTAAGCCAACTTTTCACAGCAGTAGCTTCGCTGAAGGCAGAGAGAGAATATTTTCATTATTTGTTATTATTTACTCAAAACTAAGAAATCAACTGGGAAAAATGAAAGAAAGAATATTGTATTGAAACAGAAATACAAGTTATGAATCTAAATGACACGGGGAGTGGGGAAGATGAGAGCTTGTTGTCAAAGTTTTACAGACACCATATATTCAGAGTTGTGATAAGTTATCTGTTAAAGTTAATACATTTTGGGAAAAAAAAAGTTTAAGGACAGCCACCAGCCAGCAACTAAGGAGACTGCTGCAATTGCAAGTGTGAAACATTTATATAACTTTTTAGTTTAATGAGATAAAAGTGCTACTGTGTTTGTGTGTGAGATTTAGTTCTTACCATTCAGAATATATGTAGGCCTCACAACTTGTGTTCTTGCTGTGCACTTTTAAACAGCTGCTGTAGCACTAACTCAGAGGTGGCTACTGCAAAGCATCCTGGGAGCTGTCGATGCCAGGTGCTGGGAAGGGATAAAAGCATATACCTTGTTTTCTCTAAATGTCACAGGATGGAGTTTTGAAGTTTAGCAAAGAAGAGCAAGCACCCAAACCACAGACCATAGACTTGAAGTCCAGGTATTTCTTTAGATAGACAGTAAATGTAAGACCCACACATGTGTCATTGAATTCTCCTGCCTCTCCTTTCCTCAGAAACATCTGGGTTGATTATAGGCTCTCAGCTAGAAAGTGAGCAAGTGAAATTCCTGAAGGATTAGTGTAGAACTAGGTTGGGTAATCCTTCTGGCTCATAACCTTCCAGATGATACTGCAATGAGCTGAGCTGAGCTGGCTCAGCAGCCACCACCCTGTCCCTGACAACCCCCAACAAACAGGAGTTAGCTGAAGCTCGAGGAGCTGGACAGTTTATGGCAGGCACATATATAACCAGTCAGTATGGTTTTGCACATGGGATGACAGGCAGGTCTGGGATGATCCAAACATAGGGTAGGCCTTCACAGCACACCAGGGCAGGAGAAGGAAGCAGAGCTTGGCCAAGCACACTTGGCACAACTGCAGCAGGGACATAGCACTGGTTACATAAGTGGGTCCAGTGCTACGGAGGAGTTAGATATATGCCAAGTTTAATCAGGTGTTGCTTCTACTGGATCTCTGAACCATCCCTTACACTGCTGTAGTTCCCACTGGCAGGAGGACATCTGGGATCCCTGCCCATTTCCCCTAAGCTTCCCAAAAGCTCTGGATGTGCTTGTGTGACTCGCATGGTGATTTCCTGCAGACACTCCCAGCCCTGCACCCAGGTGAGTCATGGGCAGCCTTGTTCTATTTCTTTCCCTGGTTCTGCTTCTTCCCCACCCGTTGTGCCCGTCAGGCAGCTGAGTCTCAGCCTGGGCATCCCCACAACTGGCTGCAGAGTCAGCCTAGAGCACAGCTCAGCAGGTGACTTAGCGCTTGATCAGACAAGCACACGATGGGCTGAGTTCTTGGCTCCCAAACCCCTGTGCAGCCTCCCTCCCCCCCATTGCCCTGTGC